GAATTGAGCAAGATTATGAAAGCATGTGGCCAACCATCAACACCAGGGTTAAGCCAATATAAAAAAAATCGATGTGGGGGGTCCAAATTTCGAAGCAAATGCATTGGTCCATAGTAGAATCGAGGGGCCTTTTCTTGTTCATGTGGGATGTAAAAAAAGCTGAGACCATGATGTCAGCAACGAACATTATACTGGGCATTATGCAATACCCACTTGACATTTTTTTGACCTATCTAAAGGAAAATTTTATTTATTTAACTAGCTTTGTTAGGCAATTGAACCGAACGTTTGCGTCATCTCGACCCCCAATTATTAAGTGAACATTATTTGACGTGCCGATTGTGTGGAGAGGAAGGAGGACCGATCACCACAGAAACGTAATTATTCCATTTGTCTCCTCATTTTTTAATTCGTTTCCCGTACCAAACGTTTTTATCTTATTCTCGTGAGAATTTAAAAAAAAAAATAAATGCATTTGGGCTATTTTTTTTAATTTATCACCTAATAGAGCCAGAAAAATCATGGACGGCAGCATGGCCGAATGCCGATAAAAAAGTCCAAATACGATGCGATCAATAGTGATCCCGAGCTAGGAATTTATGCCTTGATTACGACTAAACAAATTAATTAATTCGATAAGGTTATGCTTGCGTATAATGGGTAAGATAATCGGCATTCTTTACCTTACATTATAATAATCGTGCGTAATCGTGCATTATAGGATTCGATGACCGATCTTTTAAGGGTGCGCATGACAATCATTCTGTGCCCGGGAACTATTTCTGAACAGAAATGATTTTTTTTTATTCTGTGTCCGGAAATAATTTCCGTGCATTTGAAGGCGTTTGGTAAACTGTCCAAAATTTCTATTCCTGGAATAGAAAAGAACAGAAATGTGTTTGGTAACTACACACAAATTTCTTTTTATTAATAATATTCTGAATTGTTTAATTTTTGTTTCTTTCTACCTAGGCCATGGCCGGTCGCTGGCGACCGGCGACAGGCAACCGACCATAGCCCAGGGCCGGCGAGGGCGTCACGGCCCTCGCCGCCGCCGCCGAGGCGAGGGTCCCCCCGCCGGCGAAGGCGAGGGCCGGACCTCGCCGCCCGGGCGAGGCGGCTCGCCGTCGGTCATGGCGATGGGCGAGGCCGAGCCTCGCCGTGGGTCGCGACGGCGAGGTCGGCCTCGCCGGATCCGGCGAGGCCGAGCCTCGCCGTCGCGACCCACCTGGCGAGGCCGGCCTCGCCGCATCCGGGCAAGGCCATCGTGACCCACGGCGAGGCCGAGCCTCGCCGTCGCGACCCACCGCGAGGTCGCCGGATCCGGGCAAGGCCGTCGCGACCCACGGCGAGGTCGGCTTCGCCATGGGTCGCGACGACGAGGTCGGCTTCGCCGTGGGTCGCGACGACGAGGCTCGGCCTCGCCAGATCCGGGCGAGGCCGACCTCGCCATGACCGACGGCGAGGCCGACCTCGCCATGACCGACAGCGAGCCGCCTCGCCCAGGCAGCGAGGATCCAGCCCTCGCCCTCGCCGGCAGGGGGGACCCTCGCCTCCGCCGGCGGCCGGCGAGGGCCATGACGCCCTCACCGGCCCTGGGCTGTGGCCGGCCGCCGGTCGCCGGCGACCTACCACAACCCAAGAAAAGCAACACAAAAAGAAGAAAAGAAAAAAAACCGATTCTCAAAATTGTGCCGAGAAATAAGAAGTAACTTTTTTTTACTTCTTGTTTCTCTTCTAAAACTGTTTCTCGGCACAAATATTTGCAAAAATGTGCCCGGGAACAAAAAGTTTATCAAACGCATTTCTGTTCCCAAACTATTTCTGGGAACAAAAGAACGGAAATTTTCACTGTTTGGCACGTTACCAAACGGGTCCTAAGTGGCCTACTTTAACTTTCTTTTTCTCCTGTTTTTTCTCCCCCTTTTTATTAATATTGAACGAAGAAAAAGATTGAAGATCGAAGGCATTTTCTTCGGTCAAAAAATTTATTTTGTATTTTGTATTTTTATAATTTTTAAATCTAAAGACGCAGCTGTGCCTTCGAATCAAAGAAATGCCGTGATTGGCTTGATATGTGTGTCATGCACCTTTGTTAACGCTTTTTTTCTTTATCCTTTAGGGAAAAATAATAGTTTTTTTTTTATTTTTCTTTTTTCTCTACCGTATTTTTATTATAAATAAAGCTTACGACACAGGAAAATGGTGTGGCAAGGCACTCATAATTATTTTTATTTTTTTTTGCGATTAGGGTTTTTGGAGGCTTTTGCCTTTCTCTTTGGTTTCATTCCACGTAAGAACTGAGAATCTCCAATGGAAGCGCATGAACGTTGAACTCTTACACATGCTATAGTGGCGATTGCATCACATGAATTATAAACAAATGTGAGACTTTCGACAAGGATATTCTTGATTAAATGCCCTCCTTTCATCTTGTCCCTTCTTGATGGCGTCACCAAATTCACCCTTCGGTTGATAATTATATGATGCAATAAAGTGATTCGGACAATATGAAATCTGGAATCGAATTCCGCTCGGATGATTATATTTTTGTTACGTGGGAGGGACTACCTAATGATATCGAATTTTTCCCGGGTCATGAAGATACCATCCAGGCATCAGACGTGAGGTTCGGCAATACGAGGATGAATATTAATTAATCTCGTACGGAAATCAATCCTGCAAAACAAAGGTGAAGAAGTCACTCGGTGGTATTTTTGGCCGGTACCCTCCAACACTCAAATCAGATTCTGTTTATGGAAACGTGAAACCGACAGAATTTGAGTTCGCGAACGAGATTGCCTTCACCTGACAAGAATGGAATGAGCTCTATCTATAACTGACCTCGGAATGTCGCACAAGTCGGGAATACGATATTTTGGGCATTGGCATTAGCCACCATTACCTACGGTGCTCGGTCGGATGTCTTGGGAGTTCGATCGTTCTCCAAGATTCCCAGCGGGCACGTCCGGACAAGGACGATGGCTCCGGGCCTTCGAATGAGGCCGGACTTTTCGGATGGGCTTGGGCCTTAAATGGTTTGGAAGATGGATTGGCATCTTCATCTAGTTGGTCTCACTCGTGTGTGATTGTTGCATTACACCATGCATAGCCCTAGGCCCGGTCCACATCACGACCGTAATCAGGGATTAATTTGAGTACTGTAAGAGACGTAAGCCCCTCGTCAGAATTAAGTGAAAAAGACTGGATTGTCGGTCAGCTAATGACTAGATGTAGTTGTCAATACGTTTTAAGTAAATGTGCTCCGATAGCTTGCAATAGATTCTCTAAATTGAGAGAGTCCAAATCTAAGGAGCAATTTGAGCTTCTTTGAAAGAAGAAAGAACAGAGTCCTAGTCTAAGCTTCTAACAAGGAGTGTAGAATAAAAGGCAACTCCTTTCTTTGCCGAAATAGAGCAGCTAGATGGAGAAAAGTAATTAGTGTGGATCAACCGACCGGACCGATCTAATATCGATTCAGTGGTCGCTAGACTTACTAAGACCGGTTTACAAAATTGGTTTATCAAGTGATGTGTCAGGCTTGTTTTTGACCTCGGAGTATGGCCCACTTGTTTAAAGGCCCGCTCACAGTCTAACACATCACTTTGTAAACCAAATTAGCTTACCCGTTTTAGTAAGTCTGGCATTGCTCAATCGATACAAAACAATCCTTATCGAAAGCAAAGTTTCCTTTGGCTTTACTCAAATCCCCAGTCCAAGCATAGCTCAGTCTAACTCTGAAATTGGGTCTTTTAGTGGCCAAGATGAACCTTTTGGGCCGGATCAGTCAGCACCCGTGTTCGAATCCGAAGCTTGAAACCCAAAAGGAATCAAGTTTCAATTTTGCTTTTAAGCCAAGCTATTGAAAGGGGATATATATCAAGTTCAGAACGTGAGAGAACTTAAAACTTTCATGACCTTCTTTCTATCAGTTCGATAAACTCTGTGCAAATGCTATTTTAAGACGCTCATAATGTAATTGAATTCGTCAAAAAAGAAAAGAGAAAGAAGTGGATCATGATTTCCACAAAACACGAGCGATAACTCCAACAGCCCCAAGCGTATCTCATCCCGGTCTCCCCGACTAGGATCAAGATTGGTTACGAACCAGATCAGATGAATCTTATCCTCTTCCTCGGACATCCCTCCACGTAGCTCAGCCGTTCCTTTCTTTGTCCATCTCCCAACAACCAAGTCATATCATCATAACACTGCATGGAGTTTTTATTTTCTTGTTTTTTCCTTTTTTCTGCCGGTGGAGCCCATTCTCATCCCGATTTGTTCACCTCTTCAGATGTTTCGAAAACAAACCATGTTAAGAAGGCACTTCTTACATCTATTTAGTACATTCAGGATTTTATATTCAACAACATATTGAATCGTGTGGATCTCACGTCAGTCCCACATTATCCAATGAAGCTCACATGAACTAGGATCATCCCATTAGTTGTTCCTTTTTTCATCCCTAGAAACTAAGCTAAGCTAAGTCCAACTAGATCGATTAGCCAAATTAATGTATTAACTAATTTGATATGTGAATGAGTAAGCTGTATTTATCTAGATAAGGAAACATCTCATCATTTTGTACATCACTTCTAATATATATGCTGAGAAGACTTATCATACATAGATAAGAAAAAGGACTCTATAAGGCAATAATTTCATTGATTAAGTAAGTTGATAATCTAGACATGAACCTATTCGTATATGACGCGTGTACTAATATGTGGAGCAGTTTCTGTGATTCACGAACAAGTCCTCTTCATTTCCCTGATTGCGCGGTGAAGCGTCACCCGTGGCCTTCAAAGCTCTCCCGGCGCAGCTCAGCGACAACCCAGCCGACACTACCGGGACACCTCCCCTCCAGCCACCAGACACGTGTCCTCATCCCATACGTGGGCGTGGCATGCACGTGTCCCGTCGCCGAGCCATGCACGTGGAGGCTCGCACAGTGTCTCCCACCATCACCTTACAGCCACCCCTATAAAACCCCACCCGGATGGACATACGATCCATCATCGAGCTCCAAACAGAAAGAGACATTCAGTGCGTGAAGAGAGCGATTCTTGGTCCTTGGTTATCTGCGCGGTTTCGCTTTGCGTAGAGACGTTTGAGAGGAAGAGAGGGTATGGCGGGATACGGGGGGCAGTATGGTGACTCCGACATGCGTCGCCAGAACGACGAGTACGGCAACACGATCCGCCAGACGGACGAGTTCGGAAACCCGGTCCAGCAGACCGGATACGGAACTGGTGGTTACGGCGCCGGGACTGGCGGTGGAGCTGGGGCGCTTGACGGCCTTGGTTATGGTGGAGACCAGCAGCAGCAGCTGAGGGGCGAACGTCGTGGAGTTGGCGGTGGCGGCAACACGATCCGCCAGATGGACGAGTTCGGAGACCCAGTCCAGCAGACCGGATATGGAACTGGTGGTTACGGTGCTGGAACCGGCGGTGCAGCTGGGGCGACTGGCGGCCTTGGTTATGGCGGAGACCAGCAGCTGAGAGGCGAACGTCGTGGAGGTTTAGATGGCGGAGTGCTCCAGCGATCCGGAAGCTCTAGCTCCGTCGGTCTTTTACCCTACTTCATTTTCTTTTCTTTTTTTCCCTTATTGCAATCCGAACTTTCAGCTACATCTATTTAATTTCACGAATGCACGTAATTTACTTGTCAGTTGTCCACACATTTTGTCAAAGCTTTGTGAATGTCACGGCACGTGCTTCAATCTATAGAAAAAGCCATGCAAGTGAATATCGGCCGTTTTTTTTAAAAAAAACAACTCTTCTGTTATGGGTGCAGTCGGAAGATGATGGTCAAGGCGGAAGGAGGAAGAAGGGGATCAAGGACAAGATAAAGGACAAGATTCCGGGGATGGGCAGTGACGACGAGCAACAGATGGCGGGGTCGTACTCAACGTCCACTGCCGCGGGTGGAGGCTACGGGGCGGAGCTGGGGCAGCAGCAGGAGAAGAAGGGGATGATGGACAAGATCATGGAGAAGCTTCCCGGACATCATTAGATATTAATATATATTGCATCAGTCCCTCGATCAGTACTAGATATCTAAGTGGGGCTACGTATTTGTCTTTCTGTCTCTCTGTGTATGAGAGGGACTTGAGTTTGGTTGTTCAAATAAGTGCAAGAAGGTCATTACTTGTCTACTTCCCCTTGGGAAGCTTGCACCTGAAAGTGGTTGTTTTGTGTTATGTACTGAGATCCTTTGCAGTCTAAATATATAAGTAAAGCTTTGTATTCACTTGTTAAAAGTGATGTGCTTTGAATGTTGCTGAGTGATCATATAAATCAGCGGGTCTTAGTAAATCAATCTCGTGAACCGGTTTCGCGGCAAAGGCAGTGCCGCCTAGCGGTGGCAAACCGGCCGGGCCTCTTGGGACCATTGTTCCTGACGGCCTTTTCTTGCATCCTCTACGATTCGGGCGACCAGGGGTTTGTTTCCCGTTGTACAACCTAAAAGCTGAGGACAGCAACGGGAGCTGCGTAAATATTTGGAAGCAGAGAGAGGATAAGCTTCTGTTCCAAATGTTTCTATTTATATTTTTCGTAACTGTGCTTTTGAGTTTGAGAGGTGAAAACAGGTTGTGATGATTGTGGTCGAAAAGAAGAGAAATGATCGAAAGGGTTTAAACTTGAGCCTCTCCCACAGCCACACGCTCTAACTTGAAGACACGTAACTAACCCATTGGAAAACATCTTTAATGGGATATATTTTGCTGGGCCAGATATTCTTGAAAAGCACTCATTTTAGCTCATTTTTTTCCTCGTAAAAAGTACTAATTCTAAGTCGGGTCTCAAGTTTGGTTTAAATCTTTTGTTGTCTCGTTAAAAAAGGCACTAAACTTTTAGTCGGCACCAAGATCTGACTCCCTTCAACTTTCCGTTCAATCACCGAGTAAGCGTGGAATGACACGTTGCGTTTTCATCATCATTAGACGGAAACTTCACATGGACCATATTTTAATACCGACCGAAAATTGGTCCCTTTTTATGAGAAATTTAGATTAAAATTGGTTACTCAACCTAAATTTTTTACTTTTTAATGAGGTAAAAAATAGTTCGAGCTCGAACTGAGATCCGACCTAAAATTTGCACTTTTAAGGGAATTATGCCTATTTTGCTTAATTGGTATAAAAAAATAGGCTTTTGGAGTCGCAACTCTAAATTCTTGAGCGTGTTATTAAAAAAAGATAACTACACAAATGGTCCCTAAACTTTGGTCCAATGTATAATGTCGTTCTTGAATCTTTAATTTGTTTATTATGATCCATAAACTTTTTATTACATTGAACATTTTCATATAACTCAAAGACTAAATTGAATATGTACCGAAAGTTTAAAGATCTAATTGAACAAATTAAGAGTTTAGGGACGATGTTATATATTGGATTATAGTTCATGGACCACATTGAACAAATTAAAAGTTCAATAACGATATTGAACATTAGGCCAAATTAAATTCCGAAATCATTCGTGTCATTTTCCCTGTGAACAATATAAGTTTTTCCAACGAAGAGGATCAAGTGTCTAATTATTTCCACATCAAGTTTGGAAACCTTCGCATTTCCTCAGCTCCTCGATTGCTTGCTAGGAAGTGTACATGGGGTACCTGAAAAACACTATTAGCAAGATTTGCCATTACAAGAATTGCTAGAAAGTGTACATGGGGAACATATGTCCAGAGCAGGGCTCAAGTCAAATGTGGACCTTTCTTTTACCAGTCAAAAAGATAACGGGGTCCAAACAAAGAGGTGGAAGCTCAGTACTTTCCAATCAGCAGGTGATCTCTGATTTGTATAGATAGCTGCAATTACCAATTCCACAAGGTCCAAGGGTTGTTTCGTGCTCCTTTTATTATATATTGACAACATAGGTTGGAATGACAAGGATGGTTTCGTACTCCTTTCATTTTTACACCTCAATGGCATAGGACGAAAATGGCAAGAATCATTCCACTGATCACTAATGAGAAAATTACCAAAGCGGTCCTAAATCTATTGTAATTGGGTCAATTCAGTACTAAATTTTTTTGTGCCAATTCAATCCAAAACCTTTTGCATTTGTGCCAATTCAGTCCATCCGGCCAATTTTGATCGGCTGGCACTGACGTGGACACTGGCCGTCCGGCTAACACTAATGTAACAATTTTTAAATATTTTTTTTGAATTTTTTTATATTTTTTTCCCTTGTTTTCCTTTCTCTTTTTTTTTTTCCTTTCCTTAGTCCCTAGCCGGTCTCCGGACCAGCCAGGGTCTAGAGCCGACGAGGTCAACCTCGCTGGCCACTAATGAGACTCGACCTCGCCGTCGCTGGGCAAGCTCGACCTCGCCCAGATCTGGCAAGGTCAAGCCATGCCATGGCTGTGGGCAAGGTCAACCTCACCCAGCCGACCTCGCCCACGACGATGAGGGTGAGCTTCACTAGTGGCCAGCAAGTCGCCGGACCTAGCCCCTGGCCGGTCTGGCCATGGGCCAAGGGAAGAAGGAAAGGGAAAAAAAAAAAGAGAAAAAGGAAAAAAAATTAAAAAATCTAAAAAAATGTTTAAAAATTGCCACGTCAGCGTCGGCAGATCAAAATTAGCCAGATGGACTGAATTAACACAAATACAAAAGGTTTAAGACTAAATTAGCACAATTACAATAGGTTTAGGTCTGTTTTGATAATTTTCCCGATCACTAATTGTTTCCCCAACTTTAAGATGAAGGACATGATGTTAGCTATGTGCTGGGTGTCAAGATCGTCGGAGATAAAATTAATGAGTTTCTTAGTTTGTCTCAAGAAATTTACATCGAGATACTGATATTTTTTTTTTGGGTCAAAGATCAAGAAATTGATTGAACTATACCAAATGCGCAATCCCTTTGGGTTGCGTTTGGTCATCAAGACACTTTTGCTGGAGAGGATAGGATTTTAAATATCCCATCCACGCATGCTATTGCTCGTCTGACCAAGATCAAGATTGTTACGAGCCACATCAGATAAATCTTATGCTCTTCCTCAAGTCAATTGTTCCTTTTTGTCTATTTCCCAACAACCAAGTCATCATAACAACACTGCATAGAATTTTTTCCCTTTTTTTTTAATCGGTGAACCGGGTCTCATCTCGATTTGTTAACCATCTTAGACAATGTTATGGAAACAGACGATGTTAAGGTGATACATTCCTTATATTTGTCTAGTACATTCATGATTTTATTTTAAAAAACGTGTAGGATCACGTGAATTTCACATGAATCCTACATCATCAAAAATAGTGACATAAATTGAGGTCATCCCACAATTTTTTTCTTTTTTAATCCTTAGAAATGAAGCTAAGCTTGGTCGGTAAGTGAATGAGTAAGCTTGTGTTTTTCTAAATAAGGAATCATCTCATCATTTAGTACATCACTTCCAATATGCTGACAAGACTTATCATACATAGATAAGAAAAAGCACTCTGTAAAGCATTAATTTCATTGATTATGTAAGTTGATAATCTAGACATGAACCTATTCACATACGACGCGTGTACTGATATGTGGAGCAGTTTCTGTGATTCACCGACAAGTCCTCTACGTTTCGGAGATAAACTCCGAAAGCTCTTATTACGCGGTGAAGTGTCACCGTCGCCGTCAAAGCTCTTCAGGCGGAGCTCAGCGACAACCCAGCCGACCCTTATCTTATCCACACGCAGCCGACACTACGGGACACCTCCCCCTCCCACCACGGGACACCTGTCCTCGTCTGGTACGTGGCCGTGGCATGCACGTGTCCCGTTGCCGAGCCATGCACGTCGAGGCTCGCACGGTCTCCCACCACCTTACAGCTCCCCATAAAACCGAACTGGGATTCAGATCGATCGGTCATCAATCTCCAAACAGAGAGAGACATTCAGTGTGAAGAGCGCGAATCTTGGTCCTTGCTTATCTGCGTAGTTTTACTTTGCTTACAGACGTTTGAGAGGATGAGAGAAAATGGCGCAATACGGCGGGAAATATGGTGACTCCGACATGCGTCGCCAGAACGACGAGTACGGCAACACGATCCGCCAGACCGACGAGTTCGGAAACCCGGTCCAGCAGACCGGATACGGAACAGGCGCCGGAACCGACGGCACAGCTGGGGTGACAGGCGGCCTCGGTTATGGCGGAGACCAGCAGCAGCAGCTGAGAGACGAACGTCGTGGAGGTGGCGGTGGTGGAGTGCTCCAGCGCTCCGGAAGCTCCGGTTCTAGCTCCGTAAGTCTTTAACCCTACTTACATTTTCTTTTTCATTCTTACAACCCGGACTTTCACCCACATTTAGTTTCACGAATGCACGTGAAGTGCTTGTCACTTGTCAGTTGTCCACACATTCTGTCGAAGCCAGACCTTTTGAGCATGTCACAGCACAAGCTTCAATTCATAGAAAAGCTATTCAAGTGAATTTTAACTAAAAAAACATTGTTGCGTTATGTGGTGCAGTCAGAAGATGATGATCAAGGCGGGAGGAGGAAGAAGGGAATCAAGGAGAAGATTAAGGAGAAGATCCCGAGGATGGAAGGCAAGGACGAGCAGCAGCAGGCGGGGTCGTACCCGACATCCACCGCCACGAGCGGAGGCTGCGGGGCTGAGCTGGGGCAGTGTTGGAGCTGTGTCCCAGTGCTGCTGTTGTTTTTCTTGTCGTTTTAGTCTTTTTTGTTTTGTAGTCAAGTTTGATTTGTTGGGCAGTTAGTTAGTTAGCTATTTTTTAGGAAGTGGAACAAGTCAGTTTTTTTGCACGTTTGTGTGCAGTTCAAAACAGGTTCCTATTAAGCTTGTTCTTGACAGTTTTTTGTTAATAGTTTTTAGTCTTCTATTCCATCTCTCTCTGTGAAATCAGAAAATTGTGATAGCTGATTTTTTCATCTTCTTTAACATTGGTATCAGAGCTTCTATGGGATCTTAAGGGACTGTGAAGTGAGGGTAAGCGAGCCTGCAAAGACAAAGCTGATGGAGGCAGGATCAAGTGGATTCTCTGCAATGGCTACTCCAGTCTTTACTGGGGAAAATTATCAAGCTTGGGCTGTCAAGATGACAGCATTCTTGGAGGGTCATGATCTATGGGAGGCTGTGGAGAATGATTATGAAATTGCTCCACTTCCAAACAATCCGACCTTGAATCAGATAAAGATCCATAAAGAGAGAACCAAGGCCAAGGCAAAGTCTCGCCTGTATGCTGCTGTCTCACCCCTTATCTTCACAAGGATCATGAGATGTGATTCTGCAAAGGCAATATGGGATTGCTTGAAGGATGAATACGAGGGAGATGAGAAGATAAGAAGCATGAAGGTGCTGAATCTCTTAAGGGAGTTTGAGAGACAGCAGATGAAGGATTCAGAGTCAGTGAAGGAATACTCTAATAGGCTGATTGAGATAGCTGAAAAGATCAGAGTTTTAGGGACTGACTTGAAGGATGAAAGGCTGGTTCAGAAGATCCTGGTGTCTCTTCCAGAGAAGTTTGAAGCCACCATAGCTTCTCTGGAAAATACAAGAGATTTAGCTGACATAAAGCTTGCAGAATTGTTAAGTGCCCTGCAGGCACAGGAGCAAAGAAGACTAATGAGAAGAGAAGAGCCTGTAGAGGGTGCACTGCAAGCTAAAGTGAAGTTCAATGATGGAGGCAAAGGGAAGAAATGGAATCAGTCCAAAGGAAATGCAGGTGATTCCAAGTTTGCAGCGAAAGAAGGAAGTTCTAGTGGGTCTGGCAAATGGAAGAAGAACAAGAAGCCTTGTCAACACTGTGGTGGAACTACTCATCAGTCCTTTAGATGCTGGAGGAGGCCTGATGCTAAGTGCAAAATATGTCACAAGATGGGTCACATGGAAGCAATCTGCAAAGAGAACAATCACCAGCAAGCAGGAGAAGCACAAATAGCAGTGAATGAGACTGAGGAAGAATGCTTGTTTGTGGCTTCCTATTCTGGTTCTCCTGTTGAGAATGATGCATGGCTGGTGGATAGTGGCTGTACCAATCATATGACTGGCAATTTGAAGCTGTTTAGGAGTCTAGACAGTTCAGTCAGGTCCAAAGTCAGAATTGGCAATGAACAGTATATCGAAGTGCAAGGGAAGGGTATAGTGGCTATTGAAGGAAATCAGGAGGTGAAGCAGATTAGTGATGTTCTCTTTGTGCCAAAAATTGACCAGAATCTGTTGAGTGTTGGCCAATTAGTTGAGAGGGGCTATAAGGTGAAGTTTGAAGAAAAGGAATGCTTTATTGATAATGCATATAGCAAGGAAGTGTTGAGAATGCCAATGAAGGACAAGTGCTTCCTGTTCAAGCCACAGGAAATGCAACAAATGGCTTTGAAGTGCAAAGAAGAAAATGCAGAGCTATGGCATAAAAGGCTTGAACATGTTCACTGGAAGAACATGTTGTTTATGCAAAGGAATAGCTTGGCAGATGACTTGCCAAGTTTGGAGGAGGAATTTCCACAGTGCAGAACTTGTCTTCTTGGCAAGCAAGCCAGATTTCCTTTCAAGGAGGAGGCTGGAGAGCATGTGAGAAGCTGCAATTAGTCCACACAGACTTATGTGGACCTATGTCTGAGTCATCTCTCAATGGTAGCAGGTATTTCATTACTTTCACAGATGACATGATTAGGATGAGCTAGATTTACTTTCTGCAAGCCAAGTCTGAAGTTGCTGAAGTGTTTATGAAGTTCAAAGCCTTAGTTGAGAATCAGAGTGGGAAGAAAATCCAAATGCTCAGGTCTGATAATGGTTCTGAGTATACTGCTCACAAGTTTAAGTTAAACTATGAGGAAGCAGGCATTATGCAGCAGTTCACTGCCCCCTATTCACCTCAACAGAATGGGGTCAGTGAGAGGAAAAACAGAAGCATTATGGAAATGGTCAGATGTATGATGCAGGAGAAGATGTTACCTAAGAAGTTATAGGCTGAGGTAGCTAGTACTGCAGTGTTCTTGTTGAACAGATTGCCCACAAAGGCCTTAGAGAGGCCAACACCTTTTGAAGCATGGTATGGTGTTAAACCTTATGTAAAGAATTTAAAAGTTTTTGGGTGTTTGTGTTATACGCATGTTCCTCAGGTCAAGAGGGACAAGCTGGATCAAAGAGCTGAGCCTGGAGTCTTCATTGGATACAGCCTCCAAACAAAGGCTTATAGGATTTTTCAGCCTATGACAGGGAAGGTGACTGTGAGTAGAGATGTTGTTTTTCTAGAGGAAGATGAGTGGAATTGGATGGAAGAAAAGAATGCAGGACAGAAGAAATCTGCAGAACAACAACCTACAACAACTGTACAGGTTGATGAAATTGTGAATGGATTGGAAGATACTATGGATGATATGCCAGTAAGAGGCACAAGGTCACTTGCTGAAGTTTACGAAAGAAGCAATGTGGCAGTGCTTGAACCAGCTAATTTTGTGGAAGCTAAGGAGGATCAGAAGTGGATTGTAGCAATGCAGGAGGAGTTGACAATGATTCAGAAAAACCACACATTGGAGCTTTTTGACAAACCATCTGACAAGAATGTGATTGGGGTTAAGTGGGTGTTCAGAACAAAACTTAATCCTGATGGTTCTGTCAATAAACACAAAGCTAGACTAGTTGTGAAAGGCTATGCTCAGATATGGGGAGTAGATTATTCTGAAACTTTTGCGCCTGTTGCAAGACTTGATACAATCAGGCTACTATTAGCTGTTGCAGCAGAGAAGGGGTGGCCTATATTTCAGCTAGATGTCAAGTCTGCATTTCTGAATGGAGAGCTCGAAGAGGAGATTTTTGTTGAACAACCTGAAGGCTTCAGTGCCAAAGGGCAAGAAGAGAAGGTATACAGATTGAGGAAAGCTCTATATGGACTGAAGCAGGCTCCAAGAGCTTGGTATGGAAAGATAGACAGATATTTGCAGGATTTTGGCTTTGTAAGAAGCTTGAGTGAGTTCACTCTTTATGTCAAGAAGGTGAATCACAGCGTGGTAATTCTGTCACTCTATTTAGATGATTTGTTGGTGACAGGGAATGATGTGGAACTGATAGAGAGGGTGAAGCAAGGTCTGTTTGCAGCTTTTGAGATGTCAAACTTGGGAAAGATGGCTTATTTCCTAGGTCTGGAAATCAAATAAACTTCACATGAGATTTTCATCTGCCAAAAGAAATACATGAAGGAAATTTTGAAGAAGTTTCAAATGGAAGATTGTAGAAGTGTCAGTACTCCTATGACTGCTAAGGAGAAGCTGCAAAAGAATGATTGAACAGAAGCGGTAGATGCTTCAATGTATAGAAGCTTAATTGGATGTCTCATGTATCTCACAGCAACTAGACCAGATATTTTATTTGTTGTGAGTGTTTTATCCAGGTTCATGAGTAGTCCTAGTCAGTTACATTTGGTCGCTGCAAAAAGGGTCTTGAGATACATCAAAGGAACATTGTTCTTTGGTGTGAAGTTTAGGAAAGGCCAGAAGTTTAAGTTGCAAGGTTTTTCTGATAGTGACTGGGCTGGCTCAGTAGATGACATGAAGAGTACATCTGAGTACTGCTTCACTCTTGGTTCTGCTTGTTTCTCCTGGTGTTCCAAAAAGCAGGAGATTGTAGCTCAGTCCACTGCAGAGGCTGAGTTTATAGCAACTACTGCTGCTGCAAATCAAGTTTTGTGGCTAAAGAAGATAATGAAGGATTTGTGGTTGAGTTCTGGTGATTGCATTGAAGTTTATGTGGACAATCAGGCTGCTTTAGCAATATCACATAATCAAGTTTTCCATGGCAAAACCAAGCATTTTAAGATCAAATTCTTCTTTCTGCGTGAAGTGCAACAAAGTGGTGAAGTTAAGTTGGTTTATTGTACATCAGAAGATCAGCTTGCAGACATGTTCACAAAGCCACTTCAGGTTGAAAGATTTAAGCTGTTAAGGGAGAAAATTGGAGTTTGCAACAGCAACTGATCCAAGGAGGAGTTTGTTGGAGCTGTGTCCCAATGCTGCTGTTGTTTTTCTTGTCGTTTTAGTCTTTTCTGTTTTGCAGTCAAGTTTGATTTGTTAGGCAGTTAGTTTGTTCGCTATTTTCTAGGAAGTGGAACAAGTCAGTTTTTTTGCACGTTTGTGTGCAGTTCAAAACAGGTTCCTATTAAGCTTGTTCTTGATAGTTTTTTGTTAATAATTTTTAGTCTTCTATTCCATCTCTCTCTCTGAAATCAGAAAATTGTGATAGCTGATTTTTTCATCTTCTTTAACAGGCAGCAGCAGGAGAAGAAGGGGATGATGGAAAAGATCAAGGAAAAGCTGCCCGGACACCATTAGATATAATATATGTGGCATCAGTCCCTCGATCGGTACTAGATGTCTAAGTGGGGGTACATATTTGTCTTTCTGTCTCTCTGTGTATGAGAGGGACTTAAGTCTGGGTGTTCCAAATAAGTGCAAGAAGATCGCTACTTGCCTACTTTCCCCTTGGGAAGCTTGCACCTGAAAGTTGTTTTTGAGTGTGTGTACTTCGATTCTTTGCAGTCTAAATATATAAGTGGAGCTTTTACATCTATTTGTTATATGATGTGTCGGATCGTGACTAATTTTTTTTTATTGTTTTTAATGAATTGGTCTCACGTATCATTCAGTAAATCAATTTTGTATGTCAATTTTAAGACTTAATGCAAGAGTAAGTCAGCGACTTAATGCGAGAGTAATTTACCAGCTTAATGCAAGAGTAATTTATGTCGAGATGGGAAGAATTCTAGTAATTGCCAACCGGGGGCAAACAAGCTGGGCCTATGGGGACCGTGCCCTTGATGGCCTTTCTTTCTTGTACCCTAAGATTGGTTCAACTAAAGGTTTTGTTCCCCGTTGCACAAACCTAAAAGCCTAGGACGATAAGATCCGAGTAGATGTTAGAAAATTTAATTCAAAATTTTTAAAAAAATTTTTTGCTAAAATTCAAAATTTTAAACTGATAAGTAAAAGTGATTACCTAAATATAAAAAATGTTTACAACCCGTTGGACAATGGAACAATACTCCAGTAATATATTTTTAAAAGAAGGAAGACAATATTCTTCTGTCCTGATATTTGTATTAATATTTTTCATGGAGCGGTTTGAGTTTTGAGAGAGGCCAAGTCTTCAAATATGGTATAGTCGGCTAGTCAATGATTGTGGCCAAAGAGGGGAGAAGGGATTGAAAGGGTTTGACTTGAGCCTCTCCTGCAACCACACACTTGGCTTGAAGACAAGTAATTAACTCAAAATTGGAAAACAACAAATCTTTAAAGGATTTATTTTGCTGATCTGGCATAAAAAGATAGGCACACGGAATCGCAACTCTAAGATGGGGTTTATAACACCAAATAAATCCAGATCATCTAAATCATTAATCACCTAGGTTTGTCATACGTCTCGTACGATTAGATAAATCTTAATCCATCAATATAAGTCTCTTTTGTATGTTGAAACTTAGGGATATTTGTAACTTTTTTTGTAACTCGCCAGTCGAGCAATTGATATACCATCTATTAAATTAAGGTGCAAACTTGATTCGGTTTGAGTTGACTTGAAATTAACTGTGAAAAAGAGTATAGTTTTTCAATTCAAATGTCTGTCCAAACAGCATTTTCCTAGATTTGGTCATGCTCAGTTGTGAACTGAGTTATGGTACGAGTGAAGTAACTGTCCATATCTAATGCTCGACTAGTTCTCAAATCAACTACTAAATTTTGCCTCCTTTGCTTGAAATAGATAACTGAGACTAGTCCACTGCTTTATAATCCGATATAGGTGGTCCTCCACTAAAGAAAGTAGCATTTGATGAAACTTCTTCTCGCCTTCGAGCAGCACATGACATAACTTCTCCTCGACACGAACTTCTTAGCTCCTCGATTGCTTGGTAGAATGTATACATGGGGCCCCAAAAAAACACTATTTGTCTTAGCGAGAATTGCCATTTCAAGCCTTTTATAAGTTGAGTTATTGTGCCCTAAAATAAGTGAGGAACATATGTTCAATGCAGGGCTCGAGTCAAATGAGGACCTTTGGAGAAAATATCCGTGTGTTACAAAGCGCCGCGTCAAAAGCTGACTAGAATTATTCCACTAATCAATAATTGTTCCTGAACTTTGAGACGAAGGACATGGTTGAAGTTAGCTATGTGCTCGGTTTCAAGATTGCCGGAGATAAATTTAATGAGTTTCTTAGTTTGTCTCAAGAAATTTACATCAAGAAGCTACTTGACCAATACGAAATGCACAATTATAAACTTACAGAGACTTGTGTGGAAAAGAATGTGGGATTAAGCCAATCGAGGTGACTTTCCAAATGTCTCAGTGTTTACCCCATCAGTTTTCGAGTCCTTCATCACTTCCATAGTTTATTTTCACGTGCAATTCAAGAAGAGAAGAAATTATTACAGGGTTTATATACAAAACAAATCAAAATCATCTAAATCATTAATCACGTGGATCATTGTACACCCCGCATGAGGGGATAAATATTAATCCCCTGCCGTAAGTCTCTTTGTACATCAAACCTTAGAGATAGTGCAAAACTTGATTTGACTTGAGTTGACTTGGAACAAATTGTGAAAAAGAGAATAATTTTTTAATTCAAAATGTGAGAGAACTTAAAAAATTTAAGCACATAATGTATTTGAATTCGTCAAAAGAAAAGAGAAAGAGAAAGAAGTGGATCATGATTTCCACAAAATACGAACAATTGGTTCGCTTGATATTTCCCTTCACATGATCGATGAATGAATCACCTAACTTCAAGTAGATAATATTAGATGGGATAGGCTTACCAAGTCAGCAAGAAGACAATCCAATTAAAGCGTGACACATATGCCAACAAACCCACCTTACAGAAATTTTGAGATTTCTTCTCTCCCCTCTTTCCGTTACTTTTTCCTCTCTTTCTCTGTGTTTAGCCCTCACTTTTTCCTCATCTTCTCCGTTACTTTTTCCAATCGGGCATCCATGGCCACATGCCCGAAGCTCCAGCGGTCATGGCTTTTGGGAGCTTGAGCTCAAGTGAAACCATGGCCGCAACATGTCAAAGTTCAGGTGGCCATGGTTTTAAGATCGAGATATGGAAACCATGGTTGCAACCTCGTGCTCAAGCGGCCATGGCTGCTGCTAGCTCGAGCTAGCAACTTTGTGCTCATGCTCGAACTCCGTGGCCATGGCAGCTGCAAGACTGCAGATTGAGCGTCCATGTCCACAAGTGTCTCGATCGAGCGGCCATGGACGGGAGTTCAAAGTTCGGGCCACCATGGCTGCGAGCTCGAAGCTCAAGTGGCCGTTGCCACAAGCTTGAGGTGGCAAGAGAAGAGATAGAAAGAGATGCCAATAGAGAGAAGAAGAGAGAAAGGTCATGGATACCTTGATCTGGCACAATTGGGGGAAAAGAGGAGATTGCGGCCATGCCTGTGAGCTCGAAACTTGAGCAGCCAAGGCTACCTCAAGCTCCAGGCTTGAGGTCGAGCTCCATGGCCAAAGCGGCCATGAGCCTTGGGCTCGAGCCCCGGCGGACGCAAGAGGAAAGAAGAAAAGCAAGTATTAAACATAGAGTGGAGAGAGGAAAAAGTATCGAGGAGAGAGGAAATCTCAAAAAAAAATCAGGGTGGGACCTGTTGGTACACGTATCGTGATCTAAATGGATTGTTTTCTTACTGACTTGGCAAGACTCCAACGGCCCACGCATATCTCATCCCGGACTCCCCGCCCCACGTACGCTATTACTCGCCTGCGCAAGATCAAGATTGTTACGAATTAGGTCAAATGAATCATATCCTCTTTCTTGGACATTCGTCCACGTAGCTCAACCGTTCCTTTTTGTCTATTTGCCAACAACCAAGTTATCATAACAACACTGCATAGAGTTTTTTCTTTTCTTTTCTTTTTTGTCAATGGAGCCGGGTCTCATCTCGATTTGTTTACCTCCTTAGACGATGTTATGGGAACAAACAATGTTAAGGAGACACACTCCTTACATCCGTCTGGTACATTCATGATTTTTATTTTTATTTTCAAAACATATGGGATCATGCGGGTTTTATATAAGTCCTACATCATTCAAAAATATTAACATGAACTGAGGTTATCCCATAATTTTTTTTCTTTTTTCATCCCTAGAAATGAAGCTAAGCTAGGTCCAATAAGATCGATTAGCCAATTTGAAGTATTGACCGATTTAATATTGTATTATCCAATATGTGAACGAGTAAGCTTGCGTTTATCTAAATAAGGATTCACCTCATCATTTAGTACATCACTTCCGATATGCAGAGAAGACTTATCATACATAGATAAGAAAAAGCACCCTATAAGGCATTTATTTCATTGATAATGTAAGTTGATAATCTAGACATGAACCTATTTACATATGACGCGTGTACTGATATGTGGAGCAGTTTCTGTGATTCACCAACAAGTCCTCTAGATTTCCGACATAAACTCCGAAAGCTCTTATTACGCGGGGAAGTGTCACTGTGTCACCGTCGCCGTCAAAGCTCTTCCGGCGGAGCTCAGCGACAACCCAGCCGACCCTTATCTTATCCACACGCAGCCGACACTACGGGACACCTCCCCCTCCCGCCACGGGACACGTGTCCTCGATTAGTACGTGGGCGTGGCATGCTCGTGTCCCATCGCCGAGCCATGCACGTCAAAGCTCGCACGGTCTCCCACCACCTTACAGCTCCCTATAAAACCGAACTGGGATTCAGATCGATCAATCATCAATCTACACATTCAGTGTGAAGAGCGAGACTCTTGGTCCTTGTTTTTCTGCGTAGATTTACTTTGCTCAGAGACGTTTGAGAGGAAGAGAGAAAATGGCACAATACGAGGGGCAGTACGGTGACTCTGACATTCGCCGCCAGAACAACGAGTACGGCAACACTATCCGCCAGACCGACGAGTTAGGAAACCCGGTCCAGCAGACCGGATACGTAACAGGTGTTCACAGCACCGGAACCGGCGGCACAGCTGGGGTGACAGGCGGCCTCGGTTATGGCGGAGACCAGCAGCAGCAGCTGAGAGACGAACGTCGTGGAGGTGGCGGTGGTGGAGTGCTCCAGCGCTCCGGAAGCTCCGGTTCTAGCTCCGTAAGTCTTCAACCCTACGTACATTTTCTTTTTCATTCTTACAACCCGAACTTTAAGCCACATTTAGTTTCACGAATGCTCGTAAAGTGCTTGTCACTTGCCAGTTGTCCACACATTCTGTCGAAGCCAAACATTTTGAGCATGTCAAAGCACAAGCTTCAATTCCTAAAAAAAGCTATGCAAGTGAATTTTAACTTTAAAAAAATGGTTGCGTCATGCGATGCAGTCGGAAGATGATGGTCAAGGCGGGAGGAGGAAGAAGGGGATCAAGGAGAAGATAAAGGAGAAGATTCCGGGGATTGGCAGCAACGATGAGCAGCAGCAGCAGCAGCAGGCGGGGTCGTACCCAACATCCACCGCCGCGAGCGGAGGCTATGGGGCTGAGCTGGGGCAGCAGCAGGAGAAGAAGGGGATGATGGACAAGATCAAGGAGAAACTGCCCGGACACCATTAGATATAATATATGTGGCATCAGTCCCTCGATCAGTACTAGATGTCTAAGTGGGGTTTGATAAATTTAGAGACAAAGAACGCAAACACAATTTAACGAGGTTCGGCTAAGTAAGCCTACGTCCTCGGGAATCCTCTCTCAAAGTTTCTTTTGTTATAAATTCTTTGAGAGAGGGACTGCCTTTTTATTGATAGAGGTATATAATTGTTTCCAGAATTACAGGGAATGTACAGAGTAACAATTGAACAAGGAAAGAACACCAAATCAGGAGAATATCCTATAATTTTCTCCTACCAAAATAGGAGGATCCTGTCGATTTGGTCAACACTCCCCCTCAAGTTGGACCGAAGATATCATCAGAGGTCAACTTGTTCACCATATCCTGAAATGGTCCTTTAGCAAGGGCTTTGGTGAAAATATCGGCCAACTGATCTTCACTTCGAACATAGGGAGTTTCAATGGTGTTATCCTGAACCTTTTCCCATACAAAATGGCAGTCTACCTCAATGTGTTTTGTTCTTTCATGGAACACGGGATTTGAGGCGATATGAGCAGCAGCTTGATTATCACAAAACAGCTTCGTAGGTGACGTTCTTGGTTTGCACCCTAATTCCTGGAGGAGAAGGTGCAGCCAAACTATCTCACTAGTAGTAGTAGCCATTGCTCGATATTCGCTTCAAAGACTTGAACGAGCAACGACATTTTGCTTCTTACTTTTCCAAGTAACAATATTACCTCCTACGAAGGTGCAAAAGCCCGTAGTAGACTTCCTGTCATTGGGGCTTCCTGCCCAATCAGCATCTGCATACCCGACAATATCTGTATGCCCATTGTTCTTCATTAAAATACCCCTTCCTGGTGTAGTTTTCAAGTACCTTAGCAATCGATCAACCAAATCCATGTGCCCTTGAGTCGGATTTTGCATGAATTGACTTACATAGCTAACTACGTAAGTAATATCTGGTCGAGTAATAGTCAAGTAAATCAACTTGCCTATGAGACGTTGAAATGCTCCAATGTCTTGCATGGGAGTACTATCAGCGGCAAACTTACTATTGTAATCCATAGGAACATTTGCCGGTTTGGCCCCCATTTTCCCTGTTTCTTTTAACAAGTTCAGAATGTACTTTCTCTGTGACAGAAACAAACCCTTGTGAGAGCTGGCCACTTCAATTCCTAAGAAATACCTTAGTTTTCCAAGATCTTTGATATCAAATTCTCGACGAAGATATTGTTTGAGAGCCTCAATTCCAGATTTATTGCTTCCGGTGATAACAATATCATCAACGTAGACGAGTAAAATTACAATACCACCCTCATCAGATTTGGTAAACATTGATGAGTCGGCCATACTTCGTACAAACCCAAACTTTGTAAGTGCACCACTGAGCTTGCCGTACCATGCTCGAGGAGACTGTTTAAGTCCGTAGATGGACTTCCTTAATTTGCAAACCATCCTTTCTTCATTTTGCAAGGCATGACCCGGGGGAAGATCCATATACACTTCTTCTTCAAGGTCTCCATGAAGAAATGCGTTTTTCACGTCCATTTGACAAAGCGACCACCCACAATTGACTGCTACGGACATAAGAACACGAACCGTATTCATCTTCACAACTGGAGCAAATGTCTCCTTGTAGTCAATGCCGTAGGTCTGGGTGTAGCCTTTAGCTACAAGGCGAGCTTTATACCTTTCGACTGAGCCATCACTATTGTATTTAATCTTGTAAATCCAACGACAACCAACAGAGCGCTTTCCATCAGGTAATCGCACCACATCCCAAGTGTGATTTTTATCAAGCGCCTGGAGTTCCTCCTTCATAGCTGTAATCCACACTGATTGATGTTTGGCTTCTTCATAACTGTTGGGTTCTTTTGAACTTTCAAGAGTAGATAAGAAACACCAAAATTAATGCGAAATTTTGTTATAATTGACATAGTCTTGGATGGGATACTGTACCGTGTGATATGTGGTAAAATCTCGAAGTCTAGCAGAGGGCCTAGAAATCCTCATAGATCGGCGAACTGGTGGTGAAGATGCTCCAGAAAATTCTTCTGTCATGATTTCTTCCCCAGAGTGAGTTTCAGCCATCGGCTCTAGATTTTGCTGTAGCTCGGTGTCATGTTCTAATCGTCCTCCATCCCTTGTTTCTAAAGTGGGTACATTCGTGGGTACCACAGGTGAAGCAAAGAATAGGGACAAGCGGTGAAGCAAGAATAGGGACAGGGGCAACTTCTCCATAATCTGTTGAGAGTTTGGTGTACTCCCCCTGAAGTTGGCTCCTGTCAGAATAATACATATTAGTCTCATCAAAGTGAACATCACGGGATATATAGAGGCGCTTTGTGGTGGGCTCGTAACACTTGTATCCCTTTTTAGCTAAAGAATAGCCAATGAACACGCACTTCCGAGCACGTGGATCGAGTTTACCATCGTTCGAGTGAACATAGCATGTACTGCCAAAAATCCTCAAATGTGAGACATTGAACTTCTTCTCATATAAAATTTCTACCGGAATCTTATATTCAAGCACTCGGCTAGGGAGCCGATTAATAATATAGCAATCGGTGAGAACAATATGCTCCAATATGTTTTGGGCATATTCCCGAAAAGTAAGGCCCGAGTAACTTCTAGAAGATGACGATTTTTCCTTTCTGCTATGCCATTCTGTTGGGGCGTCCCAACACAGGAAGTTTGATGAATAATACCCAAGTTGCGCAAATAAGCTTGAAATGCTTGATTGGTGTATTCCGTCCCATTATCCGTGCGCAACACTTTCATGTTTGTCTTAAATTGATTGTGTATCATAGCACAAAATTCCTGAAAAACAATAAGAACCTCACTTTTGGTTTTGAGCAGATACAGCCATGTAGCGCGAGACTTATCATCAATAAAAGAGATAAAATATCTATAGCCATCCCGAGACTCAATGGGAGCACTCCACACATCAGAATGAATTAAATCAAATAATTCTGAAGAGAAATGTGTACTCTTAGGAAAAAGAAGTCTATGTTGTTTGGCGAAATGACAACAATCACATGAACTAGAATCATGAGATAAAGATCTACCAAGAGTGTGTAAAATCTGATCAGACGGATGACCCATGCGTCTATGCCATAGTTCCGACATCTTCTTAGCATTCTGGATTGCACTCAATGCCTTGGGGTATTGATCTATGACATAGAGTCCATTCTGCAACCTCCCTTCACCAATCGTCCTCTTGGTGATGCAATCCTGAAGTAACACCTTAGAAGCAGAAAAAATGACATTGCAGTTCCATTCTTTCGTACACTTACTAACAGATAATAAATTTGAAGATAAATCAGGTACGATCAAAGCGATAGAACTCTTAGACAACATCTTAAATTTTCCTGCTCCTTGTGTCGGGACCTGTGCTCCATTAGCAACAGTAATAGGAGGATAATCATTGGAGACAACTTTAACCATTATTTGATCTGAATTACACATATGGTCAGTGGCACCCGAGTCTATAACAAACTGATTTTTGAACTGAGTCAAGAACACCTTACCAGAAGTTTGAACCATGTGGCTTGATTCAGCAGATGAGCCAGTTGATCCAATTGCCTTAATGTTGGACCCTTGACCCTGCAAAAGTTGTTGAAATTGATTCGCAAGACTTTCAAGTTTGGCCTTGAATTCAGTCGGGTTAATTGGATCATTTTGGGCAGCCAATTTTGCTTCTGGCCCCTTCTCTCTACCAACCCGCAAGTGAGGATGAAGAACCCAGCATCGGTTCTTGGTGTGACCATCACGATCACAGTGTTCGCAGTGGAAACGACCGGTTTTCTTCGTCTTTCCCTTGGCAAATCTAGTGACAGCCTCCGCCGATTTGTTGGTTACGACATTGTGGGCCGAAATCTCAGCAGTTGCTTTTATGTTCGCCGGTGCTGGATTCATGACTCGACGCCTTGTTTCCTCTCTCTGGATCGTGGCACAGACTTCGGTGAGGGACGGCAAGATTGGGCTCATGAGGATATGTCGTCTAAGATTATCGTATTCTGGCCGAAGGCTAGCCAGAAGTTGAAAGATCCGATCTTCCTCCTCTCTGCGAACATAATCAGCAGCAGATTGAGTGGCGGGGCGATACTGTCGGAGCTCGTCCCACCTCCTCTTGAAATTTCCGAGGTGTAAGGTAAATGATTGATTCTCTTCTTGCCTTGAACTTGCCAATTCTTGATGGATTTCAAAAATCCGAGAGGCATTTCTGAGTTGACCATACATTCCAACCAACGCATCCCATAGTGCTTGAGCTGAATTGGAGTATGCAAAAATCTCGTAGATTTGGGGCTCCATGGAGTTGAAGATCCAGGACATGACAGAGTTGTCACTGGCCAGCCACTCTTCGTATCCGGGATCATCTTCTGGAGGAGCTTTGATTTTACCATTGATGTGGCCGAGTTTCGAACGGCCTCCAAGAGCTACGGTTACAGCTCGTGACCAAGGAAGAAAATTCCTTTCGTTCAGAAGCATGTTCGTGAGACGTTGGTTGTGAGATTCTTGCAGAAGACCTTTGGTAGAAGGAGTTGCAGTCGGCAATTTCTTGCCGGCATCCTGTTCTCCCATGGTGACAACACAGCAACAAGGTAACTAGAAAAAATCGTCGAAACAAACAATAACAGGTTAGGCTTGAACCTGCTCTGATACCATGATAAATTTAGAGACAAAGAACGCAAACACAATTTAACGAGGTTCGGCTAAGTAAGCCTACGTCCTCGGGAATCCTCTCTCAAAGTTTCTTTTGTTATAAATTCTTTGAGAGAGGGATTGCCTTTTTATTGATAGAGGTATATAATTGTTTCCAGAATTACAGGGAATGTACAGAGTAACAATTGAACAAGGAAAGAACACCAAATCAGGAGAATATCCTATAATTTTCTCCTACCAAAATAGGAGGATCCTGTCGATTTGGTCAACAGGGTTTTACGTATTTGTCTTTCTGTCTCTGTGTACGAGAGGGACTTGAAGTTATGGTGTTTCAAATAAGTGCAAGAAGGTCGCAACTTGTCTACTTCCCCTTGGGAAGCATGCACCAGAAAGTTGTTCTTGAGTGTGTGTACTGAGATCATTTGCAGTCTAAATATATGAGTGGAGCTTTTTGTAATTATTTGTTATCTGATGTGTCTGATTTTTTTAAATGAATTGGTCTAAGTATTGTTCAGTAAATAAATTTTGTATGTCGGTTTTAGGACTTAATGCGAGAGCAATTTATGTACAGATGCGAGGAAATCTAGTATTTGCCTAGAGGGGGCAAACAGGCTCGGCCTATGGGGACTATGCTCTTGATGGCCTTTCTTTCTTGTATCCAAGGATTCGTGCAACCAAAGGTCTTGTTCCCCCTGCACAAACCTAAAAGGTTAGGACAACAAAAAGATAGATAGCCCAACTCAAAATCTTAAATTGATAAGTAAATGGTGATTACATGAACTTAAAGAGTATTTAAGATTTGTTAAACGATGTAGAACGATATTGTAACGGTATATTCTCAAAAGGAAAGAAAATATTCTTCTATCTCTATATTTATATTAATTTTTCACGGAGCGGTTTGAGTTTTGAGAGGCCAAGTCTTCGAATATGGTATACTCGGTTAGTCAATGATTGCGGTCAAAGAGGGGAGAAGGGATTGAAAGGGTTTTGATGTGGGCCTCAATTCTAAGATGGGCTTTGTGAGACCCGACAAATCGTGATCATCTAAATCATTAATCATATTTATCACACGTCTTGTACGATTAGATAAATCTTAATCCCTCAATAAAAATTTCTTTTGTATGTCAAATCTTAGGGATATTTGTGACTTTTGCAAAACTTGATTCCGTTTGGATTAACTCGAAACAAAATGCGAAAAAGAGTGTAGTTTTTCAATTCAAACACCTGTCCAAATAGGATCTGCCTAGATGTGGTCGTGCTCAATTGTGAACTAGGTTATGGTACGAGTGAAGTGACTGTCCATATCTAATGCTCAACTCATTCTCGAATCAACTACTAAATTTTGTCTCCCTCGGTTGAAATCGATAACTGAGAGTATTCCACTACTTTATAATATGATCTAGGTAGTCCTCCAGCATTCAATGAAACTTCTTCTCGCCTTCGAGCAGCACATGACATAACTTCTTCTCGACACAAACTTCTCAGCTCCTAGATTGCTTGCTAGAAAGTGTACATGGGGTACCAGAAAAACACTATTTGTCTTAGCAAGAATTGTCGTTTCAATCCTTTTATGAGTTTCGTTATGATCCCTAAAATAAATGATGAACATGTGTCCAGTGCAGGGCCCGAGTCAAAAATGGGGACCTTTGGAGAAAATATCTGGTGGTTGCAACGTCATGTCAAAAGCTGACATGCAAACATATTTTACTTTCATCCACTTAAAATGGACACATGGCTACTATTGTATATTAAAAAATTGACCTGGAATTTATTCTTTTCTTCCTTCTTCAATAATGGACTCCTTCATCTAGACTTCTATGGACAGCGGCAGCCGTCATGGACGACAGCTCATCCACCGGCGACGGCGGCTCATCCACAACATTGCCTCCAAATCTCGTTGGTTTCTTATATTCATTTTTTTCTCTTTAACTTATTGGCAAAGAAGCCCCTAACATAGGACTTTCACACTGACATTGAGACAGAAAACTCATCACGGATCTGAAGATGCGCAGAAGGGCGGCCATGGACGGTGGCTCGAGCCATTTGGCCGTAGTTTTGAAGTTCTTCCACCTACTACTCCAGATCTGGAGTTCGTTCATGGAAGAACAGAGGAAAGCGCTCGTCCATGGCCGACCTCTACGCTATTTATGGACAAGCCATAGTCCATGGCCACCCCTCCTGCGCGTCTTCAGATCTGTGACGAGCCTTGACGGTGAAGTCCATGGTGAGTCTGCCGGTAGGGACGGTGGAGGGAGGCGTCGGTTACTTCGCCGGCTAGGCTCAAGGTGGCTGCAGTCATAGATGGAGGAGGAAGAGCGAGGTGTATAGAGATTTTTAATTTTTTTTATCCAAGCCTACGTCAGTATATACATGTCAATTTTTAATTGGCTCAAATTGAAAAAATGGGAAAAATTACCAAAAAAATCCTAAACTTTTTGTAATTGTGCCAATTCAGTCCTAAACTTTTTTTTTTGCCATTTCAGTCATAAACCTTTTACAATTGTGTCAATTCACCATCCGGCCACTTTTGGTTGACCGTACGGCCGACGTGACGCAGCCTGGCGCCTACGGCATCGACGTGGCATTATTTTAATATTTTTTTTCTTTTTTTTTTTTCCTTCTTCCCCCTGGTCGGACCGGCCAGGGGGAGGCTCGCCGGCGAGGTGACCTCGCCGGCCATGGCGAGGCCGACCTCGCCCGGCCATGGCGAGGCCGACCTCGCCCGGCCATGGCGAGGTCGAGCTCACCGGCCATGGGCGGCGACGAGACCTCGCCCAGATCTAGCTCGACCTCGCCTATGGCCGGCGAGCTCGACCTCGCCGTCGCTGGGCGAGCTCGACCTCTCCCGGCCATGGACGAGGCCGAGCTCGCCCGGCGACAGCTCGGCCTCACCCAGATCTGGCGAGACCTCGCCCAGATCTGGCGAAACCTCGCCGTCGCTGGGCGAGCTCGACCTCGCCCGACGATAGCGCCATGGCGAGGTCGACCTCGCCGTCGTTGGGCAAGGTCGAGATCTGGCGAGACCTCGCCGTCACCGGGCGAGCTCGACCTCGTCCAGCGACGGTGAGGTCTCACAAGATCTGGGCGAGGCCGAACCGTCACCCATGGCCGGCGAGCTCGACCTCGCCCATGGCCGGCGAGGTCGGCCTCGCCATGGCCGGCGAGGTCACCTCGCCGGCGAGCCTCCCCCTGGCCAGACCGGCCAGGGGGAAGAAGGAAAAAAAATATTTAAATAATGCCACGTCAGCCGGCCGGCGTCCACGTCAGTGCCGGCCAGCCAAAAGTGGCCGGATGGACTGAATTGGCACAATCGTAAAAGGTTTAAAACTGAAATGGCAAAAAAAAAAGGTTTAGGACTGAATTGGCACAATTACAAAAGGTTTAGGACTTTTTTGGTAATTTTCCCGAATAAATGCATGTCACACCAGCTAATGACTTGGCACTCGCAAACTACTGAACATTTTCTCATCAACAAGACATCGGGATCCAAACAAATAGGTGGAAGCTTAATACTTTTCAATCTGTAGGTGATCTTTGATTTGCATAGATAGCTGTAATTAACAATTCCACAAGGTCCAAGGTAGTTTGGTGCTCCTTTTCTTTTTTATTGACAGCATAGGTTGGAATGACAAGGATAGTTTAGCGGCATAGGCCAAAAATGACGAGAATTATTCCACTAATCAATAATTGTCCTTCAACTTTGAGGTAAAGGACATGGGTAAAGTTAGCTATGTGCTTGGTGTCGAGATCATCAGAGATAAATTTAATAAATTTTCTTGGCTAAGAAATTTACATCAAGAAGTTGCTTTTGAATGATACCAAATGCGTAATTGTAAAGCAATAGAGACTTGTGGAAAAAATGTGGGACTAAGTCAATCTGAGGATATGATTCAAATGTCTTGGTATTTACGCCATTAGTTTTGAAATCCTTCACAGCGCGAAAATCAAGAAGAGAAGAAATTATTATGGGTTTATAGATCAAATAGATCGAAATCATCTAAATCATTAATCATATGCATCCACCGTAGACCCCACATGATCAAATGACCGTTAATCCCTCATCGTAAGTCTCTTTGTACAAAAACGTTAGAGATATCTATAACTTTTATTTGATTCACCAATTAAGTGATTGACATACAATCTATTAAATCAAAATCCAAAACTTGATTTAACTTGGGTTGACTCGGAACGAACTGTCAAAAAAAGTATAGTTTTTCAATTCAAATGCTTGTCCAAATAGAATTTTCGTAGATGTAGTCTTGCTCAGTTGTGAACCGAGTTATGGTACAGAGTGAAACAACTGCCCAAATCTTGTATTCTCCTATTTAAATGCTCGACTCGCTCTTGAATCAACAACTAAATTAGCCTTCCCCGCTTAAAGTCGAAAACTGGTAGTTGTCCATTGCTCTATGATCCGATCTACGTGGTCCCCCATCGAGGAAAGTAGCATTCGACGAAACTTCTTCTCACCTTCGAGCAACATATGCCATATGACATGAGATCCCCCTTAGAGTTTTTGTGATGAGCAGCCATTGTTTACGCAAATCAGTGTAAGTGTCAGGAGGAGATCAGATATACATCTAACTCCCGACACATCTCTGTTATTCTCTTGGCATTTGCATGTTCCAGGCTCTCTTATTTTGTTTAAAAGAAATATTGAGATACAGCATTATTTTCTGAAAATTTTATTAATCTTTTGGCTTGATGAACTACGTTTGAACAAGCTTCAAATTCTAGAAGGTAATGTAATGCTGATGGCAAGACATAGTTGTCACCCATTGAAGTTTCGGTCTCCAAGGTCACTACTTGGCTAGTGCAGTACAGCTGAATGATCCCTTGTTTCACTGGCCATCTGAGTGTCACTTGTTAGCTTTTTGTCTTTGTTCTCTCTCTCTTTTTACTTTTTGACTCGAATAGATTCCCAAAACAGATTATGCTAATCGTCGGTGCTTTGAAAAATGGGGATTTTTTTTTTTATTTGATCGCTTATTAATTAAGCCACCCCGTGTAGAAAATCGTCCTAGAAGTTAAAAAAACTCTGGAGACCCATTTAATGCATCCCTTCGAACCCGTCAATGATTGAGAGGCCATCCGGGTTTTGTCAACAGAGCAGTTGAGCCTTCCTGCAATAAGAAATGCCACTTTTGTTGCTACATCCATAGCGTGCTCTTTCAGACTCGATCCTGTCTATGGCATTTTGTCATGATCTGATCGACCAAGGTAAATGTTTCTAGTTATTTGACTGATGTGGCCCCAAAAAGCATCTTATCAGAGGGGCGGATGGTGATATGTCCACTGAATATAACCTTGTCAAGGAGAAAAAGAGGAGCTGTATAATGCATGCATTGACTGTCTCTAATCCGATGAGCTTTTAGTTATCCTCAGTCAATGGTCTCTTGTCATCATCACAACCTAAAAGCAGCAGAAAACAAAGAACATGAATGAAAGCATCCATTCTCTATGCATAGAACTTGAGAAGTGGTGACATTGGTGAGGCTTAGAGAGGTTGAGTGGGCTAACAACTCCATGAGTGTTTGGAATTTTCTGTTATCAATAGCTAGTAAAGCTAGCCAGCCACCAACTCCGGCTTTCTGTTGCCGTTTGCTGGTCCATCTGTCTCAGAGAATAGTTCACTAGAAAACTCTATATAGACCTCCCTAAAACACCCTGAACACCTTGCATTTTCTCTTCCCATTTCAAAGGCTCTTCTGTGGAGACCATTCCAAAAAGAAGAGAAGCGAAAATGAGTCAATCCAAGAACTTCCTCATCATTCTCTGTGTTCTTGCTCTGGCTCCACTCAGTCTCTGTGGCAAGGCAGGTTATGGGGGTTACCTTTATCCACAATTCTATGACCAATCTTGCCCCAAGGCTCAAGAGATAGTGAAATCGGTGGTGGCCAAGGCTGTCGCGAAAGAGCCTCGCATGGCCGCTTCGCTCCTCCGCCTACATTTCCATGATTGCTTCGTTAAGGTCAGCGACCGAGCAATTACTCAGAATAATTTCCATGTCTAAACTTCGGTTTCAAAAAAATTGCATGCTAGTACAGTCGCAGTGCCACTCTCCATATGTAAAAAAATAGTTTCTTATACATGTACTCTAAGTCAGCACTCTATGTGAAAAGGAAACATGCTCGTCGATCTTTTTTCCGGGTTTATAAGCTTCTCCATGCTTTTGGTTCATCGACTGCTCATCATAGTAAAACCAAGCATTTCTTATCGCCACAGTTGGGAGTAATCTATACTTACATTTTGCTGCCTGTTACGACATGTAAATAATATGCTCTGTCTGAGTACCAATGTTGTCGATATTGTGACAGGGCTGCGATGCATCGCTATTGCTGGACAGTAGTGGGACTATAACCAGTGAGAAGAGGTCCGTCCCTAACACAAACTCAGCCAGAGGCTTTGAAGTACTTGATGAGATCAAATCTGCACTGGAGAAGGAGTGCCCTCACAGAGTGTCTTGTGCTGATCTGTTGGCCTTAGCTGCCAGAGACTCCACTGTTCTTGTAAGCATATGTAGATGTAGTCCACAACTTCTCTCAAAAAGAATTACAACTTTTCACCCAAGAAAAGACCCAGAAAAAAGAAAAAGAAAAACTTCCTTTCCTCTTCTATTTGAAATGCCTAACGAGTATATTAATGCTTGAATGTGTAAACAGACTGGTGGACCTAGCTGGGTAGTGCCACTCGGAAGGAGGGACTCAAGAGGGGCAAGCCTCAGTGGCTCTAACAACAACATTCCTGCTCCAAACAACACTTTCCAGACCATTCTCACCAAGTTCAAGCTTCAAGGACTTGACATTGTTGATCTCGTTGCCCTCTCTGGTAAAATTTCTAAGCATCTTAACCTTGGTTTGGATTTTAACGTTAAAAGTCCAAGTCCCTGCTTTATTTCTCATTATTCAGGGAAATTTAAATACTAGATTGGACCCCTGTTACGATGGAAAATGTATGTCTTGGGTGAATTTGTTTCTTGAATGTATTCTGAAATCAAATCATATTTGGCATGACCTATTACAGGAAGCCACACAATTGGAAATGCAAGATGCACCGTGTTCAGGCAGAGGCTCTACAACCAGACTGGCAACGGGCAGCCCGACTTCACGCTCGACCAATCCTACGCCGCTCAACTCCGCACCCGCTGCCCGCAGTCCGGGGGTGACCAGAACCTCTTTTTCTTGGACTTCGTCAGCCCGATAAAGTTCGACAACAACTACTTCAAGAACCTGCTGGCTTACAAGGGGCTCCTGAGCTCCGACGAAGTCCTCGTGACGAAGAACCAGGCCTCGCTGGCGCTGGTGAAGCAGTACGCGGAGAACCAAGAGCTCTTCTTCAAGCAGTTCGCCAAGTCCATGGTCAAGATGGGCAACATCTCGCCATTGACAGGGTCCAGGGGAGAGATCAGGAAGCATTGCAGGAAGGTCAATAAATACCAGTGAGAAGAAGAAATCTCCAATCCAGTAATTGGATTTACCTCTTCCACTTCGGGAATGAATCAGTTTGAGTCTTAAATTGTTTGCTTTGTCCTGCTCTGTTATGGCTGTTGTGTACTGGAATTGCAGAATCGCAACTTCTTGTTTTGTTTGAATGAAGTCAATAACTTCTCCTTTATAATATCTTGTTTTCTTCTCTTTTCATGAATCAATTCTATTTCGAATCGGGCAGGGCCTGGATTTATCAAATTTAAAATGTATTTGGATATCCAGATGAAGAGTAGAGTACTTGCATCAAATTGTTGTCTCATTTATTTTTCTCAGTTAACCATTAATTCAGTTGAAGAATGGAAACGGAATCTCAGAGTGAATCGAGTTATGTCGACCCAAATAGATTGATTGTAAATCACACGCTGTGCACGAATCAATGCAAAAAATATGAACATCCGAACGAAATCAAGCATTTGAATTTTACTTATTTCTCTCTGTATCTTCTCGTTCCAATGTGAACACAACACTAAATACGAACAACAATTTTGTTGCAGCAACAAAACCTCCTAAAAATGGCATATGAACCGGCACCAGTACTAAAAAAATCCATCAGACGTTCCTTACACCAACCTCGCAACCATTGTTTCGAGGAATGCGGCAATGTTACAGAGGATACACCTCGCAAACAGTGGAAAGACGCCACCGGGTATGTGATAACAAGGTCAGTAAGCTAGATCCCTCATCTGCTTTGTCCCACAGCAGGGTACAGATCTATAAGCACAAAACAAGCTTGAGGTTGATGGGTATGAAAAAGCTCAACAGAGGCCGAACATCTGCTTGTCCAAGACTCTCATAAAAAATTAAGCAGTTTGAACAAGGAAAGCTCCATGTTATGAGGAAATAACAGCAATCTCCAAGCTTGGCAATAAAATTGCCACCAATGGTATCATTTATCGTCGCTTGCGCCAAATATCTCCCACGGTTCCACTGCTAGTGCTTTTTCACTTGCTTCAGTAAATCTGAAGAACGAAAATATGAAAATGCGGGTCTTAGACAAAAGAGCAGATACATGGTGAAAGCATATCAAAGAGCATATTTGTCCTGTCAGCTGTCAAATTCTCTGACAAAATTTGAGTGGTGTGCTCTATGTCTGGACAAATAAAGCTGCAATACCAATAAGCGTGCAAGGAGAACACAGACATAAGGCCTAAATACATCTTCCTGAGAATGATACATGAGATGCTCCTAACCAAAAGCATACTTTTCAACAACAAATAAGCCAGCTCTCTTACCAAATGAATTATATCACAGAACAAGCAAAGAGCTAAACTCGGCATCCCAAATGCTGAAGATTTCACAATGCTTCAAAGTCTGTAATACCATGCAGAAATTAGCTGGTTGGCCTCATCCCTAACTGACATTTACCATAAACCTCTTTCCGCTTTTGCTCTGTCTCTCACACACAAAAAAGAAAAAATGCAAGGCCACGTGCTCCAGAAGGACACAACCTTACAGTCTCTGTTGGCCAAGTCTTCTTGCCTTAACATATTGAATCTTAGGAGCAGCTGTAACTTTAAGTATCAGATGCCACTAAAAGCATCATCCTTGGTCTTGGTCTTGGTCTATCGCCCAGCATAATCATCATGTATAACCTTACTTTCCCAAAATTGCAAAAAATTAACACAAAACGTTCGTGCAAAGTAGTAGAAAAGCTCATATTTTGTTGAAAAAGCGATCATTCCAAACTTTCTTCCCTTATTCCTACTACAATTAAATCAACAAAATTCACTGAAGAATATTCTTTTCAATCAATAAAGAGAGGATATGAGCAACAAGCTAATCTGTAGGTTTCCAAATTATATCATCTTTTAGTCCAAATAAAAGCTTTAAACTGAAGTCTTATCGCACTTGCTCTATGTTACACTCCTATAAAAGTCCACAAGGTAAAAATAAAAAATGAAGATAGGAAGACGATAAGGTGCAATTACAAGTGATCATAGTGAAAGAAGCACGCCCTTCTTCCAATCCATAAGCACCTTTCAATCTGTAAACACGGTGTGACACAACAACTGCCCCACATCCTTTCTTGCAATGAACAGATAGATCTATTACTGTACCACTGCATTTTTAAGATCCCTCAAATTGTTGGGCTCAGATAGGTTGATCCTAGAGAACCCAGCTGGAGGGGTACAGACAAGAAAAGTAAAAGAGAAAAAGCAGAAACGAGCTGCAGTTATACTATCAATTGTTTAAGATTATGTAGCAAACTATGCTCCGCAGGTTATGATTTGGAACAAAGAGGAAAGCCAGTCTCATGACTGCGGCGATGAACTCGCAGCCAGTAAAAAGGAAAGAACTCGAGGTCGTGCCCTTCACTCGAGTGTGCTTCGCCAAGTCTCCAAACACACCATCCACTAAGCACTTGTCTAGCTCAAATTGCCCTCATCCAATCCAGGCATCTCTCCAATGCGATTTTCGCAGACATTACCGCCAATGATCCAACTAAGACAGAGTTTATTCGCTAACTACATGGACTTAACGATGAAGCGCGAATCATATGCAACAAGAAGTATCAACCAAACCAGTCTTGCTTCGATACTCGGCCGAAATAGTCATCATTTGCATCAGTAGACACGCAAAATTGGTGCACGAAATGCAACAAGAAGAAATTTTTAGAAAAAGCAAATGAACGCCGATGCGTTACCTCACTCCATAGTGACTTTGGCACCAACTCCCTTCATCTTCTCCATGATCTTCTCCGCCTCCTCCTTCGCCACGCCCTTCTTCAACAGCGTCGGGGCCTTCTCCACCAAGTCCTTGGCCTCCTTCAGCCCCAAGTCCGTGCACGCCCGCACCTCCTTGATCACCTTGATCTTCGCGGCCGCGTCGAAGCCCTCCAGCTTCAGGTCGAACGCCGTCTTCTCCGCCTTCTTCTCTTCCGCCGCCGCCCCGGCCCCCCCGGCTCCCGCCCTCCCGGGGCCTCGCGCCGCGAACCCCATCCCGGGCATCATGACCGCCATGGCCGGCATCTCCTCGACGCCCATCCTCTTGCGCAGCTCCTCGGTGAGGTCGGCGACCTCGAGGAGCGTGAGGGCGGAGATCTCGCCGGCGAGGGCGGAGACGCGGTCGGTGGGAGGGGGGCGCCGGGGCCTCTCCGGCGACGCCGCGGAGAACTCGCGGCGGAGGGAGGGGACGGGTCGGAGGGAACGGCGGACGCGGGTCAAGTGCGGGGAAACCGATCGGAGGAGCCTCATCCTTGGAAAGCTATGGTGAGCAAGAACAACATCAAGATCGAAGGGAGAGAGAGAGAGAGAGAGAGACTTCAATGGAGTCGGAGACTGAAGCGAAAGTGATGAATCTGCATCGTCGTCGTCTTCCTCGTTGCGCTGCATAAACCCTAGGAGGAGGGGGCTTTTGCATGCAAATACGGGTCGGGTTCGGGTTCGGGTTCAAGTAATTCGGATTTGGGTTCACACGAGTAGGGGTATGCATGGTCCGGGTGGGCGGTTCCCACCCCGGGACCGTGGACCGCCCGCTACAGGACCGGTTCCACCCGCTACATAGGACCGGTTCCAAAAAATTGGAACCAAGAACCGCATTGTCGGTTCCATGGACCCTTGAGAACCGGGACCGCCGTGCGGTCCGGTTCTGGCGGGTCCATGGAATCGATCTCAATAAGTTTTCCTAGACAAATAAAAAAAAAATTTGTGGACCAACATCGGATCAACAGAACAAAAAATAAAGAACATAATTTTTCATACAATTCCCACATTATGATCGATTATATTAATCACATCATCCATAAATCAAGTGGGTACCCATTAATTATTGGGAAAAATGACCAAGGTATCCTAACTACAAAAGTTCTTCAGACAAGATAACAAATTTTCTTCTTTTTTTTAATTTTTTTTTGTCAGATTTTTTTAATTAAAAATTAAATAAAATAAAATATAGTATTATTATATTACCGATCCGGTCTGGGTGGGCGGGTGGGCGGTTCCACACCGGGAACCGGCCCAAACAGTACCGGTTTTTTGGAACCGGGAACCGGACCGGTTCCCTTGGGAACCACCGGTTCCGGTCCGGTTCCGGGCCGGTCCCGATTCTTTTGCACACCCCTACACACGAGTCCGAATCGTGCTTTCGAATAGAAATTGGGGATCCATGTGGTGGTTGGTGCGTTTGTGTTTTTTTTTTTTTTTGCATTTGTTTCGTGTAAAGTAAATTATTTTAAAAAAAAATTTTAAAAATAATTGGTGGCCACTCACGAAAATAAATGAACAAAAAGTATTTTCGTCGTCCACATAAACATTTAGATATAAATTATTATCGATAATAAAAATATTATTTATTTATTTATTATGTTAAGCGATAAGAGAAATTACCTTTAGAGAAATATTTTTTCAGATCATTCATTTCTCGCAAAATAGACGAAGCAATAATAAGCTGAAATTCGTTCAATATATATTTCAACCCAACTTAATGGGGTTGACCGTTTTTTACCCATTTTCTTCAATAAATCAAAGCTTCAAGAGCAGTGATTACTAGAATTCCTTAAATACTCTCGAAAATTAATTCGACCGATGCATCATAATAACAAAAAGTTAGGAGTTAAAAACTTTGACCATTCTTTGAGTAGAAATTTATCTTTTAATTAAATCTCGATATATTTGGTAATCGAAAATTTCGCCCATCCCAACCTCGGACATTGCATAAACCATGTCTTGTCCAATAATCCAAACGAATTACATGTATATCGAATAGTAATACAAGGAAAAAAATACATCTTCCACTTTTCACGAGTCGAAATCGGGTCGAACTTGGTTATCCCAACCGACGGATCGAAGAACTACTGGAATCTATCGTATCGAAATCGACTGCACTCAGTTCTTTGATCTTTAACTCGATTACAAAGTCGTAACACAACATTTCAACTCGATTCCTACGTGATGCCGACATGCGATTCATAAATCTGAATTTATGTCGTTCGTGACTGTTTGTCGCTACAATTGCCAACATAGGCATACCAACGTTGTTTAGGAAAAAACGTCTTCTCCTTCCTCACGATGCGCAGGCTTAACGCACAAGGACGAGAACCTCACGTCGGAGTACTACCTTACCATCACCCCCAACACATACTTCTGATCATCGATCCAGTCGCCTCGGTCGCCTGCCTGCGTAGTGCACAGAAAAACACCACAACCCAGCTCACAAGCATGGCGAATACTTCTCTCATCCACGCGACACGGAAGCCTAACGATGCAGATGCGCTACCTACTCGACAAGCTCGATGAGCTAAATACCGTTCTAAGTTATTCGAGTTCATTGTCTACCCCAACTCATTCCCAATAAATGGGAAGGGTAATCTACATGACCAACTCGCAAGTCCTGAGCAGTCGACATTAAGAATGGTACGGTTTTTACCAATACAAAACACCTGTTTTGTTGTCTTGTTGGCCATGCAGTTTCCGTGTGAGTGTGAGACTGGGACTAACTTGACTGTTATAATCAAGCTTTAGCTGTACCGACCTCGATACAGAGGCACTCATTCCAGCACGATTGAACGTAAAAAACCTCGAATGAATTTAAACAGCACATCAAGTTGGCTCGATCATATTTCATGCCACAAAGATAGGAGGAAGCCACAGTGCCTGGATTTAGAGAGCACGGCCTTCGTATTACAAGCTCAAACTCTAGCTATGATCATATGACGGGGTCGCAGCAAAGGTTTATAGAATCAGAATGTCGAGAAATAGAGATAAGATTAAGCTAAATACAGGAGAATATAATTGGCAATTGGCACCAGGCACACGATGCACTGCAAAGAGTTCACCGGTTTAACCTGAAGAAAGCATCCCAGCATTTTTCAAGAAGCTGTAATTAATTAATATCACCGGTTCAAATTTGTGCATGGAAACTGCACCAACCATTCCTTCGGAGAATTGCAAAGACCTCAGTTTGTTCTGCACACAGTTAAGCAAGAAATCTTCCTCTTCCTTTACAAATGCCAGACATTGCCACTTTACAGGAGGGTTATTAAGCATTTGACCCAATCACCAGTTTTTTTTTTCCTTCTCATTTTTGTTTTGAAGAGATGCCCTCTACCCTAGTACTTTAGCAACTACTAGAGGAAGATACCTTCGTTGTTATACTTTATCATCATGAAACCACCACCTGGTCTCTTTAGGAGACCTACCATTCCGACAGTTCTTCACATAACGATCGTTATCTTCCGGGCGTTGCTGCGAAGGATGTCAACAGACTGTCAGATCATTTAACGACAACATGGAAGAACTACTCCCTCCAAATTAACGATAGGGAGACGCAAATAATTTAACTTATGACTAGTTTGCACTTCACCATTCAACCAAAAGTACAGTCTAATCAAGATAACTTTAAGTAACTTAGTATGGCAACAATTGGAGATCATACTCAGTGCTGTAGTGAGTGCACTAATAAACATTAGGTAACCGCAGTAGAACTTGCGATATGAAAGACAAACCTTAACAGTTGAGCTAGAAAGCATGGACAGGATGCTGATACAGACGGAACTGACAGTCATAGCGGGGGACCAAGAATCGTACAATATGTCTAGCAATAATAAAACAGAGATACATATCAGTCCTACTGTCAATGTAGCAAAAGCCAAGTCAAATAGACATTGATATTAAGTTAAGGCACGTGATAATTATGATCAACATGGAAATGAGAAGCAAAGCGATGATCTATTAAATGCTAACTAGAATATCTAATGTATCTGAAAAAAATTTAAACAGTGTGTGTGTGTGTGTGTGAGAAAGAGAGAGAGAGAGAGAGAGAGAGAGAGAGAGAGAGAGAGAGGGAGTCTCAGCACTTGTTCTACACAACTTGACTAATTATACAAATTTCAAATTGTAAGTACCATTCTCAATCGAACTCCATGACTTGGAAGAATTTTTTCATTGTGCCTTCCACGGCATTTTAGTAACACAAGTGACATTCCATTGTGTTTATTATTTAGTTAGGCCTAACATCCAAATAATAAGCTGAAACTATCTCAAACATGTGTAGCAAGACTATCTTTTATAAACAACCGTCTTCTTGCTGATATGAATTGTGGAAGGAGGATTTAAAGGGCAGGCCAGTCTAATGGTTCACTTTCAAAAACCATGATCTGTCTACACAAGCACCAGATCACAGAAAGGATAGACCTATAACAAATAATGACATCGCCTTTCTGAAGTTGCAGTGGCAAAGCCACTTAGAAAATGGAATCATTTGAGAGCTTCAAGATAAGTTGAGACCATAGTATCAATTAATTTAATGTTAAAATATGGCATGAGGAAAAAATTAGCAGATATTTCACCCACGATTAATAAGAAACAGTAAAGACAAGTATCAAAGTTGCTTAAAGAAGTAGTTTGATAAAATGGCTATGGATCCAACAAATTGGCTACATTAACCTCACCTGCGTAGAGATAGACAATTGACATTTTTAAAAATTATGCCGAACAAGCATACTAGCCTTGATTGATTGAAAGTGAAGTAGTTTGTCAAATAGATATGATGCTTATTTCAACAAGGCGCAGTACATGCTTATTGATTGAACCAACAAGCCTTTGTTAATGCAAACCGATACATAGAAGAAGACTTTCCAACAAAATTAACATCGCTTTGCAGCATCAGGTAACACTTCGGATCAAAGCTGGTATTATCCGTAATTTTATGACTTATTTACAAATCAAACCTCATGATGAACTTATAAATGTGTTAATGTTAAAGACACCAAAAAAAAATGTAGGTTGTGCATAATCTGCTTAATGGTGCCCTGAACCTACTTAGTATCAGGAGACTAAACTTGTCGAAAACAATTGCTTTAGTGATACATTCTGGTGCGGATGGGTCTTTTGGCAAATGTTTCAATCATTAATCCCAGAAGGCTAGACTAGTATTGGCAGAATTTACCTAAAGCGATAACTTTAAAGAAAGGAAACTCCATTAATACGAATAGAATAGAGAAACTTTTCAAGAGGGATGGCCCAGTATGAGATCTGTTGCACAGATGATTCTATAGGCAAGCTCACGACATAAAAGGAAAGCAGCAATGGCAAGCTTTGTCAGCGGAGCTGGTTGTCTAATGTAGACTCAAAAGAAGCTTATGAAAGACGGTTTAATATCAATTTGGGAAATACATAGCGTAACTTATGGAGTTACCACAACAAAGACTTCTCGGAAGATATGATTCTCCAAATAGAAAATCAATTAAAAACAATTTCAAACCACAAGAAGATCATTGAGAGCCAAAGTCACAGACACGGAGTTGGAAACCAGCAGAAACACGTTGGTAAGCTGAAGCCAAAGACACAAGCAAGCAGGAGGCACTATAGTTATAGCGGAACTCATGGCATGTTGCGAGTAAGAAATTAATAGTTTACCCCATCGCAAAAGGACAACTTAGAAAATTTAGCCTTTTAAAGTTGCCAATAGACACGATCATGTACGGAAACAAAAGCCCCAGCAATATACATCTTAATGTCTCGATCCTCGACAAGATGGAAAGAGTGTCACGAAAATCCAATTTAAGACTAGGATGCTTCTTGAGGTAGCCTGAGATAAAATCATCTCCTTTGGGTTGAACAAAGTTTTTTATGCACCCGATTCTCACAGAAGAGAAAGACATCTAATATCCACTCTCTGATGCCATAGTTTCGGAGCTACCGAGTAAAGCATAGATGCATATCCCAAGAAAAGATGCACGATGAATAATACTAAGCACGCAGGACATATAATCTTCTCAAGAATAGAATCAACTTCTACTACAAAGCAACCAAAGTAAAAACAGCGGAAGCAAAAGGAGCGCAAAAAAACGATGCCCAGATACATCTTCGAAGCAATCCCGCGTAAATTACCTAAACAAATATGGCCGTTGCTGTATATATGAGGATGAAGAGGAGCCGGAGGCACAAAAATGACCTGTCAGCGGCAAAACCCATGTCGGAAAAAGGGATCAGAATCATATTTCAAACCCTAACCACAAACCCAGATAACAAAACCCGCACCCGCAAAGGCCAACACCATATCTAAAGAGTACTTCGACAGAGCAACGATCCGAGAAAGACATCGGCTTTGATGAAATTACCTGGGGGGCTTCCATGGGGTAATGCTCAGGGAAGTCCACCTGAAGCTGGTAAGTCTCGTTAGCATACAGAGTTCCCGGAGCTCCATTCACTTCAATCACCCACCTATATTTTTCCCCCCGCAACCCATCACAGAAGGACAACAAAAAATCAAAACTTCACCACAACCCACGCTCCCTTTCGGCCCGAAAAAGCAGCAAAATCGGAACTTTTTCTTGCAGAACCCTAAGGGAGAAATTGAACGGGTAGGGTACCTCTGGAGATTGTCGGTGACTTTGTGCTTGAACCCCACGGGAGGATTGACCTGCCACTCCACCAGCTCCTTCTGGAGGCGGTTCGACGCAATCTTACTCAGAGCCTGAAACCGATTGGGACCCAAAACATCAAAAAGCAGACGGAAGGGGAAAAGAAAAAAAAATCGATCATTTCTCTTCCGAATCTTCCCAGAAACGAACGAGGGACACGATCGAATGCACAGAAACGTCAAAGGATCTTCCACGGCGTCGCGGAGCGCGCGTCGCCGGGGGGAAATCGGAGAGAGAGGAGAGGGAGAGGCGGCGGAGGAGAGACCTTGCGGGAGGTGGCGGAGGAGCTGGTCATAGCTGGTCGCCCTGCAATTGGCGGAGAGTTTGAGAGAGAGAGAGAGAGAGTGATGGATTGATGGCGTTGACGAAAAGAAAGAGAGAGAGAGAGAGAGCGGAAAGAGGGGAGCTCGCGGGCGTTTATGACCCACCAGTACCACCACCACCACATCTCCTTCTCTTTTTATGCCTCTCTCTCTCTCCAAAACTCCTAATTGGGCGTGTTGAGTCGCCTTTTCTTGCTTTGGCCATGTCCAATTTGTGTAATTTGGGGGGGTAAATGGAAATGGTTAGAAAGATTTGATCATTTTGGAACTATGGATTACAATAGGAGTGTATTCTCTAAGGAAGAGAGATAGATAAAGATATCCCGACACGGTGGCATCAACCATTTTAGAAAGTGCTTCGAGAAAAATTTATCCTGTCGTGCATCGATTACGGCCTCTCGACGGGTGAAGAGGAGACGTTTTGTTCGTGGAACCGCCTCTTAACAGGCGATACTTGACGATTCGTCTTGTTTCAGTGGTTCTAGTTCGACTGGACTGTGTAGCATTTTATGGACTCTTTGCTCGTGCCATATCACTCGAAGGGAAAGCAAGACCTAGCCTGGCCTAGCCTAGCGTTGCTTCGTTGTTTAATGTCTCGCTCTCCTGCTGCCTTTCTATTTTGCTTCCTCACGAGTACTTGAGTTTTTGTTAGCGTGCGAAGTGTTACGAACGCATAACCCGGCCTTATTTCATGGAACTTCATTTACACTGAATATATGTGCATTGAAATCGACGGTTAGTTATCAGAGTTTGTTGTAACGTAAGTTCGCTATTAAAATCGATTTCCTTTAGTGCATGGCTCTTTCTTTTTTTTTAGTTTTTTGCAACGGGTCTATATAGCACAGTAAATTAACTTAATCACCCGTCAGAGTCTGCTATAACATAATTTGAATATTAAAAATCAGTTTCCTTTCGTGCCCGATTTTGTTTAGTGTTAGCAGAGCCGATTAAGTTGCTGTCCCAATATGACTAAAAGAAGCACATCATTCATGTGACAACTGGTGAATTTGTGAGTTATGGCACCTGTCCACCCTTCCCACTTGGGCGCGGGGGAGGTGGGGGTCAGGGGCTGGGGGTGGGGACACGTGGGCTAGAGAGCATGGTTTTTGTTGAAATATTATCCCATATCGCTTAACAACAGGTCTAAATGCTCTATATATTCATGTAATCTCCTTCCATCTACAAGTTTAAGTTTTTAGGTTAAATTTTCTATCAATTTCGAAACATGCACATGGCACACACAACGGTTTGTAAAATAGAAATAATATAGAACCAGACCAATCGTATCCCGATAATACAATAAGTTTACATATCTTATTAATTATGGCAAAAATCTAAAACAACTCAAGAAAAAGAAAACAACAACAAGAGTAACCTATCAACCTAATCAGCTCCTTGATTTCTTACACTTTTGTGATGTGAATTCCATATGGTCAGAATGTCGTAGTTGGTCGAGTTTATTTCATTGGCAACTTTTCTCACTTTTGGATGCACTTTGAATTGCTAGCTCCTTTCATGCATAAAAGCACCTAATATGGCTCCCAAAGGGTACAAAAACCCATAAAAAAAAAAAAGTGGATGTTTCATTTGCTCCGCGCAAGAATAAGAAGAAGAGTTCATGTAAGCATTACGGGTTATCCATTTTTGGTTCACGAGTCCTCACGAGATTTGAGTAATCGAGGCATGGAGAACACTCAGATATTCTCAAAGCTCAAAGGGGTTTCAAATGCATTCCAAACTGAGACAAAGGACGACCGGAGAATCCCCGCCTCAATATGCCTGACAGGCTGACACCTACTAAATGGAGAAGAATATATGGTGAGAAAATATAACATTGGGTGGGTCGGCAAATTTGCATCTTCCCCTCTGATTTAAAGAATATTAAGTTCATCTTTCGGCCATATAAAATTAAAGAACATTTCGCAAGTGGGGTGGTTGCAAAGACAAGCACAAGACGAAGTCATTGGTCAAACTTTGGAGGCAGCAAATGGGGGGATTCGTGTGGGGAAAGGGAAGGGGGGGAGGAACCTTTCTCGTTGGCCATTGCTTTGATCTCGCAAATGTTCTAAATTCCTTCTTATCTTTCATAGAATAAAGGACAAAGTGGAAATATACAATGGAGAAAAGAAAAGAGAGGGTTTATGTGCAAATCTCGATTTGCTTTCTCTAAACCATATGAGGGAAGGAATATGCCTGTCTTTGAACTAATTTCCTATCGTGTAATCTCCCACTCTATTGAAACAATAAACAAGATAAAGAAAGGGCCGGGGTAAATGCGCGTCGACATCAGCTCCGTCTGCACTCGAAAAAGATTAAGATGGCGTGACCATCCAAACCGTGAGGTGCCAATCTCCCTTTTTTCTTATCACTGCCGATCCTGCGGAGACCTCGCATGTCTATTTTGTCGATGAACATCGACCCAAGATGAGGAATTGAATGTGTCTGTCGAAATTCTTATCCGTGTCTCTCTTCTTGCTTATTTTTCTCACTTGGTCAGTTCTTGGACTCTATAAAACCAGTTTGGTTTAATCTCTTACCTAGGGACATCCTTGTCCTCTCCCCGTTTTGAAACTTCCTCCAATGAAAGAACATCCAACCCATTCCTCATTCACGATTGGCCTGCCCATATTACCGGGGAAATTATCAAATCAGTCCTAAACCTATTGTACGGCGGCTAATTCAGTCCTAAACTTTTTAATTTTGCCAATTCAGTCCTAAACCTTTCTAATTCTTGCCAATTCAGTCCTTCCGGTCAATTTTGGCCGGCCGGCGCTGACGTGGCCGCCGGCCGTCCGGCCAACGCTGACGTGGCAAATTTTTTTTTTAATTTTTTAATCTTTTTTAATCTTTTTTAATCTTTTTTTCTTTTTTTCTGATTTCTTCCTCTGGCCGGTCCGGCGACCGGCCAGAGGGGAGGGCCGGCAAGGTCGACCTCGCCGGCCTCGCCGCTGCTGAGGTGAGGCCGACCTCGCCGTCGCGACCTAGGCGACGGCGAGGTCGGCCTCGCCGTCGGCAGGCCTCGCCTCGCCTCGCCGTCGCACTGGTTCGTGACCCGGGCGTCGGCGATCGGCCTCGCCGTTCTTGGGCCTCGCCTCGCCCGGCGGCGGCGGGCCCGAGCTCTCGCCGACGCCCTGGGTCACGAACTGGCGTCAGCAGCGAGACCCAGAAAGCAGGCGAGGCCGACCTCGCCGGTGCGAACCCGAGCTACGGCGAGGTCGGCCTCGCCTCGGCGGCGAGGCCGGGCGAGGTCGACCTCGGCCCTCCCTCCGGCCGGCCAGGGTCATCGCCGTGGCCGGTCACGGATCGGCCAAAGGAAGAAATCAGAAAAACAAAAGATTTAAAAAGGTTAAAAAATTGAAAAAAAATAATAAAAAATTGCCACGTCAGCGTTGGCCAGACGGCCGGCGGCCACGTCAGCGCCGGCAGGCTAAAATTGGCCGGAATGACTGAATTGGCAAGAATTAGAAAGGTTTAGGACTGAATTGGCAAAATTAAAAGGTTTAGGACTGAATTGACCGCCGTACAATAGGTTTATGACTGATTTGACAATTTTCCCCCATATTACCTAATCGCATGAAGTCGCCGCGAAGCATCGATGAGAAGCCTCTTGGCGCCGGCGAGCCGCGATCCTTTGAGTCTCGACCCCTTCTGAATTGCCCGCCTTTGGGCTGCCGAGGAGAACGTAGCGGCGAGGGACAGAGGCGCGCGCCGCCGCCGGAGGAGGGAGGAGAGGCATGCGGGAGCTTATGAGGGAAGAGAAAGGGAGTGGTGGGGCCCACGATAATAGCCCCCGTGCAAAGCAGGACTAGAATATGCCAGCCTTCATAAGTGGGATTGTTTCCCCCCAAGCAAATTTGTCTTAGGGAGAATCCTGTAGAAGGGACAGCCAAGACAAAAACATGCCCAAGTTGGGGGCAAAATCTTGGCTGGATTCGGTCCACGTGGACCGGGTCTGGATCCAACTAATTACCGTCATTGACGTTGGAATTCTGATGTACATTCATTAAATCTAACCACTTTCTTTCGCTATTTGTTCCCCTCTGCACCATCCAACCTCGAATGTTCCGAGAAACAGGGGTGTAAAAAGTCAAAAATCAACCCTGGAAAATGCCCCCACGGTTTGTCTTTTAGCTCCTGTGTGCATCTGACTTCTCAATCTTCGGATGAAAATTAGGTGGTAACTTCTACCCTTTTGGGGTTTCTATCTTCTGTGATACATAGGTGTGACTTCCACGCAAACTCTGACAAATAGCCGTGACTACAAGCAGGGAGTCTTCTCCTTGCTTCGGAATGTTTGCAGCCACAGCAACCGGTACTTATATATTATCTTCCATCTAAACAGCAACAGCAAGTAGCCATCTTCTCTATTTATCCCGCCTTTGCCTTTACCTTTCGAAAGCCAAAATATGACAGCTAACTAGGGAAGATGTTCGCGGTGGAAACCATCCAGTGCGAAGAAACTAGTCCCATCGACGAAGCAATAGCTTGTAGTCTGATTAAGATCCTAAAATCAGTCCGACATTGCTGTTTACCTTACAGATATAGAGATGTTGGACATTATCAGAAGAAGCAATACAACGTTCCGACAAGAAAACTTTACAAGATTATCCTGTCACAGAAATGAACGTGACCTCATTATTGCATGCGGCATCTTATATTCCATATATAAGATATTTTATTACATCTCCCAGAGATCACAGCCAATGTTCTGATTGATATCTACACAGAAAACTCCTCCGTTTTCCCACAACAGCATTACTCTTCACCAATGAGATTATGCTCGATTAGTTCCTGCAGTTGCTGTAACAATGTCTTAGTTACAACTAAAGGCCTCAATTAAGAACCGAGAGGCAGACAAAGCATTAAGTGTATAGAACTTCCAACCTCATCACGGAGAACTTAAAGACTGGGGGAGAACTTTGTACGGGTTAAGTATGTGATTGGGGTCCAGCAAGTTCTTGACAGAACCCATCAATTGCACCTATACAGGCAAGAGTATTAATCAATAACTTGTACAATAAGAGAAAAGTAGTATACACCCTCGACTAGAGGTGATCATAAAATTAATAAGGGAATATTTGGCCAGGGCCCGGCCAAAGA